CAATTGACGCAAACTTTCGCGGAGCGGCAGTGCGCTATTGGTAGAAACGAGTTGTCGCCGTTTAAATCCGGTCTTTTTTCTATAATTTCATGAAAGGGAATCAAGTAGTATTTCTTGTTTACAGTTTGGCCGGTCGGTAGGAATTTGGAGTGAACCGCAGCTCGGTAATCGAAGAAAATTGTTAACTTAACCTTGACGTTGGACCTGTTTTGTCATGCTTTTTTCGACTTCGGCTCACTTTTGCCACTATATTTGGCCGACTGATCGTCTGCTTCGGGGGTCGTAAGCATAGATCCAAAACTCAACGCCGGCAATAATAGYCGGACGTCAACGCGACGCTGCATTTTGAAAAAATTGAATGAATTTGGAATCAATCGTGCTTTCACTTTTCTTATTTCCAAATGATCTTTCGGAATGATCTCTACTGACCCTTGCGATATTCCAACGATGCCAGTAAGACTTTTAATCGCCGATACTCAAGCAGAATTTACTTTATTTTAATGACGTGCTGATCATCTGTTGATGTTGATGGCCGTCCTGGACGTGGTTCGTCGTCAATGCATTCTCGACCTTCTTTGAATAATTTGTATCAATCGAAAATATTTGCTCGCAACAAACAATTGTCACCGAATGCCTTTATAAACATTTTGAACGTTTCGCCGCTAGATATTTGATTCCGCACATAAAGTCACCGAAAAAACGCCTCATGCATGTCCTTAATCGACTTTTGTTAACAACGATAAACTCCAAAAATCAAGAAGAAATGTGCTTGAAAATCATCGTATTGGCATCAGAAATCCCGTCATCTCTCATGGATCAAATCAACTCATTCCGGTTAAAATTTTGGGTGTAAAGCGTGTCGCTTTTAAAAAAAGACCAAAAGATCTTTTGCTAAAGCGATGGCGATTAGTGATCGCATCATTATCATTAAACGAATATGCTCGACTTCTCGTTACGGAATTTATTCAGGCAAACCGCCGCGATCAGTTTCCCGAAATCATTTTTAAAGTACAATTTTTTATTAAAGTTGAAGTCGTTACCATAACATTAAACTATAATGGGTTTATTTCCTCTTAAAAATCTCATGTCTATAAAAATACTGAAAAATAAATAAACTACTATTATTATTATTATTATACGTACTCGAAATATGTTGAAGCTGTTTTGCTTAGGCAAAACACACACTATCTACTTCTGTGGCTATGAAATAGTTTAGTCTATGAATGAGAGTTTCTTAAACTTGATTGAGTACCTATTAAATAATGCAGTGTAAATAAGATAAATGTAAGCMTATGTATTTGCATAACTCCTCCGTCTTTGGCCGCAGGAATTTTGAAATCGCCACATTCACACACGCCTAACCGACAATTAACTGTTCACCCAACTGGACGCTTAGAGCATTCACAACTATGTACAGAAGAGACTGCACGTAACCCTATTATAATGACAAGTATTTATCTTTAATCTGTTTAATGAATCGACTGACGCTCTCACACCTTGCGAAGGGTTGTGATTAAATATATGTAWATGTAGGCACATGGACGATTTTCAGTACATATGCCGGAAAATTCAATTAAATGTATATTTAGTGTGTGTTGGAAGGTTTTATGTTATTGTTATACATTTATGTATTAAACTCAATACTATTTCATTATAGATGTGTCCTTATTTTCGCAAAATATTTTAAAATATTTTATTTCGAAAGTTTGATGGCTGCAGTCGAAAATTTCATAAAAAATATGGTCCGAATAAAGGTTTAACTTCGTCGAGGTCCATCGTAACAAGGATTCCACTTCAACAGCTTAAATCTACGGTAAGCTGTGTTTTCTAAAATCATTTACTAATTATGCTGAGACCCTCAGAAATCGCCAAACGCTTTTTTCTTCTTCTAAGTTAGGGAAAATCGCGATTATAACCGAGTTTACAGCAGCGCACCATTCCTTCTTCCTTTTCGCCAATTGGAGATTCCAAGCGTAGCTAGGTTCTTTAACACATTACTATAGGAGTGGAAGCCTCCCTACTCCACTGATACTCCCGGCGCTTACTAGATTAAATACTCCCAGAGTTGAAGTGTTTTCATCCATACGGACGACAAGACCTAGGCAGCGTAGCCGCTGTCTCGTAATTCGTTAAACCAAGTATGTCAATGTAGTCGTATATCTCATACAGCTCATCGTTTAATCGACTCGGTGCTCGCCATTGCCAATACGAAAATAACCATGACGGAAATGATGAGCGACTTTTAGAGTTTGGTCTATGTTAGTCGAGAGAGGACTTTACTTTTCARTTGCCTACTTAGTCCGAAATAGCACCTGTTGCCAAGATATTCTGTGTTGGATTTTRAGGCTGACGGTCTTGCTGGTGTTAATACTGGTTCCAAGATATACGAAATTATCTACGACATCGAATTTACGAATGCTCACTGTCGTAGGAGTCAAGTCGGAAGTGCAACAACTGTGTGTTTGATGACAGGAGATATTTTGTCTTGCCTTCCTTCACTATCAGACCCGTTTGGTTTGCTTCATTATTCAGTCTAGCGAAAGCAAAAGTAATGGCGTGGTTGTGGAGACCAATGCTATCAAAATTATCGGCTTACGCCAGCAGCAGTACACTTTTGTAGAATATACCTTCCCTATTTAATTCTGCAGCTCGAATTTTATTTTTTCCAACCGCAGATTGAAGAAGTCGCACAATAGGGAATCGCTTTGTCTGAAACCTCGTTTCTTATCGAACGACTAGTAGAGATCCTTCCCGTTCCTTTAGTTTATACAGCTGTATTAGTTTTAGCGGCGACACCAAATTCAGACATAGCGGCATAAATTCAGCTCAATTTCGTGTTGTCAAAAGCAGCTTTTAAATCGACGAAGATCGCATCGAGCCTTTTTCATGGACATWTTCCAAGATTTGACGCACGGTGAATATCTGGTCAGTTGCTGATTTTCCAGCATACTGCATGATAAGATTCAATCAGTTTTTTGACGGAGGGCTTTAGTCTTAGGCTAATCTCACTGTAGGTGGTCCAGATTGTGGGGTCTTCCTTTTTTGAATTGGGCAGAGCACACTTAAATTATAATCATCGCTCATGTTTTCGTCCGACCATATTTTACAAAGAAGCTGATGCATGATGCTCCTTATCAGTTTTTTCGCTGCCGTGTTTCAATAGCTCGGCTGGCAATACACCGGCCCCCGCGGCTGATGATTTCTGGTTCGTGGAAGGTAAGATTGCCGAGATATTTTAAACTCAAAGCTGTACAATTTAACCTAAGAGCTCCTACGGTTTTGACAAGATATAATTTGCAAAGGATGAGTGATTTAGTAGATCTCATGCATTTTACTCCAAGCCAAAAAAATTTCGCAGTCGCAAAGAAGCTGGTCGTTGATCAAGCGAACGGAAGGTCCTTAGGTCCTGTGCTGGAACGCAAGCTGACAAGGAGCATCCAAAGCAAAGATATCCCCTTTTCCTGGCTCATCGGCCTTGCATTTACCAGCGATTTTGCRATTTTTGCTGATCACTAGTATTGCYGGTCTACTGTCGTACTGAATGCAAACACTTCT